GCCCATTTCACTAATAGGAAATACTTAAGCCTAACTTACTGTCTGTTTAATACTGACACTCCGATACTTGATCAATGAAATGCTGGAGTCAAATTCAGAGGTTTTTCTAAGATCCCTCCAGGGTTCAGTAAATATCCTATTTCAGCTTTATGCCACACAGCTCTAGCAGAAACACTTTTTAGAGGTGATCAACTATTGTTTTTTAAGCCCATTAGAAAAGAGTAAGGCTTGGATAGAGGCTATAGGTATCCAATTAAAAACTGCCTGCTAAAAGCTCTGTAAGTACATATCATTTTAAGTATTATGCAAACCAAGAACACAGTAATACAGTTTCTCAGAACTCTTCTACTCATGTGACTATATAAAGTTATAATCATGCTCAATAAGGATCTGCATGTAGTTGTTGGACATGCCCTTTCAATAGCCCACCCTCACCTCACGCTACAGTTCCCGTCTTGACAGGCAAGGGACATCAAGGATGTCTAGAGGAGCTGACCCACCCAAGACCACCAGCTCACAGGGCTTAGCTGCAGTTGCAGTTAGGCTTTTATCTTAGGTGACAGTTTCTCCCTATACAAAAATCTGTTCCTGTATGTCTGCGACAAGGATTAGATCATCTATTGAATGAGTCTCCCTACCATACTTCAATCCAGTGAGCAAATATGGTCTCTGCAACACTAAATAGCTGAATCAAGTCATTATTTAGCCCTATCTTTTGAAAGAAAGTCCAAAAAGTCATTTACTGCTTGCAAATATCCTGAGTGCTTTCAAGTTCCTATGTCTAGCCAAAGCAAACTCATGAAAGCCATTACACTTCAGCTCAGTCATGCCTATTGCACAACAGATAATAATTCTTAACAAGACATCTCCAACTACCCAAACAGAAAGTATTTTTTATAGAAAATGACAGAAGTAAATCTACATACTTTATGTGTAAAACCAGGATATCTTAGCTTCTCAGGTCTGCACCAAAACACACAAAACTTACACATCAAGATCATACCACACACACAAGTCTTTTCACATTCCTTGGCTGTGCTCAAGAGCCTGTATTAGTTATTTATCAGAAAGCAGGACCCTGCCTACAGATCCAGGTGTCTATCCATCTAAGGGATGAAGCACCCAGCCTAAGAACGTGAGACTTTGTATAAGCAACAGTTTTGTCAGCAGGCAAGCAGATATTTTTGCTAATGAAAACTGAAAAAAGCTCTGAAGATAATACAGACAGGCTTTTAAGAGCAAACCAATGACTAAGTAAAGAAGAAGTTTAATTTTACATCAAGAACACTTTGTACACTGATTTCCAGTAGTATTGTTTCCAGTCTATGTACTACTAAATTTAGTCTTTTACAGCATTTCCACTGTAGACTACAATCCCCTTGGAAGAGTTCAATGTGCTAACTAATTTATAACTGCTCCAGCAAAAGCACTAGAGTTCAGCTACTGTGATTTAAACAGGTTCTTAAGTAGTCTGTACCAGTACTTCACTATAGCAGGGCTGGCATGGTTTGTACTGCTGCAGCTGGTCAGCCACTAGACAGATAAAAACTAAGTCCTTATCTTATTCCTTTCCCTTGCTGTGGGACTTAACTACAATATCTTCTGTGGGAAGAATGAGCAAGAGGCAAGTTGTTTATGCATTTGTGAAGACTCATAGCTATAGAGTTCACATCTAAAAACAACTGTTCAATTGCATTAAACGGAGCTAAATAGTAAGACTTGAATTCATTCTCAGCTTGACTACTACCACCATAAGACCTGGGTATCTTCCTTTTACTGCGGCTATTCTCCATCATTCAGCTCACACAGGACTTGAACGTACAAGCTATAACAACGTCAAATTTCATGTGCATTGTGACTGGCAGTCACTCCTCCTGCACAGGCTTGGAGCTACAGTTCAGTCTGAAGGATGATCAACATAAAGCAAAATGAGCTTCACAAAGAATGTAAACAGTCTGCTGATCCCTAGTACTCCTCCAATTTTATGCGGACCAAGATCGCTGTTTCACTTCACACTATCATTTATCCACTTCCAGCTAGAGAGTGGGAGAGAAGAGTTCAGTATTTAGCACTGCAACTTATGTTTAGTTTCTCTGGTGAGCACTTTTTGCATGCTTCAGTTCTTTTAGTAAAGTACATACATCTACCTCAGGAAGAGCCTGAACTTAGATGAAATGTTTCATCAGCAACAGGCTGATTTTGGAATTGAGTAATTATAATGCTAGCAGCTATTCTAACCACTTAAAGCCATATTAACTAAAATGGCTACAGGTATAAACAATACACAGATTGTCTTAAGGTACAGCAATTTAATGCAGGCTCACTGAGAGCACAACTATAAGGAATTTAACTTTTTTGGCTTAACATCATAAAACACCATAGTAGTTCTGTTAAATTGTTGTATTTAAAATTAGTGTAACTGTAGTCAAGCCAATTTCTTGGGGGGGGGGGAAGACTTTTTAGTTGATAAACCTAAATATGGGTGATAGCAGAACATTATGAAGAGGAGTGAAAGCCTAGTCTTTTCATGAGTTCCCTCATAGTCAACAATGAGCACCATGTAAACACCTAGAGTAATGGAGAAATGTTACAACACACAATATTAGATTAGAGATGATAAAACTGTACTGCAGATATCCAGCCAGAACAAACACTACCAGTTCCCACATTCCTTCTGATTTCCCTCCTCATTTATCCCACCCTGTAGAGACAACTGCAGAAGCAGCACTGCATTCCTATTCCCAGATAAAACTGATCTCAATTTCTCTTTAGCAGAGTACTGCTTTGGAACTACTGCACTCAAACTGGGGGGATAAGCAGGAAAAGTGAACCCTGAAGATTTTGCTCCTACATGTTAGTGGCAGGGGTTCCAAGCTTTCCCCTGCTCCTCTCTGCAGCCTCCATGTTAGGGAAAAGTCCCTCAAACATAGGTAAAGTCATTTCAATAAGACCAAATTATTTAAGAGCAAAAGCAGGTGGTAGCAAAAAATAGAATATGACTTCAGTACAAATCCCTCGAGAAGTTGCTAGCCCCCCACCCAAAGCAGAAGTACCACAATGCTAGTATTGGCAGCACTGCAAGACACACAACACTAGCCATCACAGAAACAGTCATTTAATAGGCAAGGCAGCACATTAAACCTATGACATATTAGCTGAGATGTTCTCTCATCGTTATTCTATAGACCAAACACAATTAGCAGGATTGGCTATGTTTGCTAGTTTGAAATTGCAAGAACTACACACTTCTTTCTAAGGTAAGTCTGACATCAAAACACTTTGATCACAAGTTTTAGACAGCTGCACTGTAGCTCTTGGAAATTCATTTAAGGTTGCTACAAGCACAGCTATACTGGACATTGGTGGGGGGACGAGGAGAGGAGTGCCAGTATAATCCTATTCTGCTATGTTAAACTCTCTTAACCCATAACAATTCTGAGCAGGCAAGTGTGTCTGTCTGCTCCCTTGGGCACAGGGATCAGATATTTCTGGAGTTTGCCAACCCTATTACTGTTTTTCAGGCTAGGGCTCCTTCTGGAGTGATCAAGCCAGTTCTTTCAGTTAAGCAGAAAAACCCTTCCCAAAGGGAGCTGGAAGTAGCACAAAGTCCACACTGATGGATGATACCCAGTTCACATTTTGAAATGGATGCCCGATTTGACAGAAAGGGGCGGTACAGAGACAGAAGGATGACTTGCCAAGTCCACTTCCTGTTCTCTCATTCATTTAGCAAATTCCTTTAATTCCTGCCTCAAACTGCATGTTCGGAGACTGCTGCTCTCTCACTCCATTTACAACCCTCCCTCACCAGCAGTTCACAAGGAAACAGATAAACCGGTTTGTCTGTGCTGCATCCATTAGTCATGGATCTTTTCCAATGCTGGCATTATGGATTTTACAGGCTATTAAGAACAGAACTATGTCATTTTGGAAATGGATTTTTTAAATCTTGTTATGTTTGGAAGGAGGGACAGTAGCTGTAATGCTTCCAAGTCCAAATGGTTTCTTACACCTCATCTCAGCAATTTCCTCCCAATTCGCAGCTGCACTGCAAGATGTTCCCAGGAACCTCCGCGATCCGGAGGCAGAGGGTCGTTCAGGTAAAACAGAAAAACCTCGATCCCTCTGCAGTATCAAGGCCCCCACCCCAAGTGAGGTGGGGGAGCCCCCGCGGTCCCGGGGAGAGCAGACCGGCCCCTGCCCGGCGCCTCCCCCCCCCGCCCGGAGCGGGAGGTCCCTGAGGCGACGAGTGACTCTGCACAAATCGCGGCCGCTCCGCACGCCGCGGAGAGGCAGCCCGGGGGATGGACGGGCGGGCGGACAGACGGACGGAGGCGGCAGCCCGGACCGGGGGCGGGCTCGGCCCTGCGCGCCTTCCCGCGGCGCCCGGCGGGACGGCGGCCCCGCACCGGTGGGGAGGGAAGGAGGAGAGCGGCAGGGTGCGGGTCCCCCCGCCACAGCGGCCGCGAGAACGGCTCCCGCGGCTTGACTCCCCCCTCCCCTCAGCGTGCCCCCAGCCCCGGCTAGGCCGCGCCCCCCCCCCCCCTCCCCCGAGGGACGGAGTGAGGCAGAGGAGGGGGAGCCCCAACGCCGCGCCTCCACCGCCCCGCTCACCTGGAAATGCTCCTGGAAGCGAATGGGCAGTATCTGGGCCATGGCTGGGGGCGAGCTCCCCTGGGCAGGGGCGCGGGGCAGTGGCCGGCGGTGGCAGCAGGGCGGGCGCCGCTGCACCCCACACGGCGGCGGGGCGGGGGGGGGGGGGGGGCAGCGCGCAGGCGCAGTGCCCTCGCTGGGATGGCGCCCCGGCGGTGCTCGCCTCCCTTTTCTGCCTCAGCTCGGGGCCGCTCACTCCGCCGGCGGGATCACTCCGCACCTCTCCAGCCTGTCAGGGTCTCCTCAAATAGTCCCTCACCGCGGCGCTTCTTCCCACCCTCACCCTCCCCCCGCCCCGCCTCTCGCCCGCCCCCTCCCTCCCCGCTCCCTCTGAGCGGCAGGGCTGGGGAGAGGGGAGCACGGAGGGAACGGGGGCTTCCCCCCCCCCCCCGGCTGCGGCCAGCGGAGAGGGGCGGGAGGGGTTGTCAGAGCCCACGTATCCCTCCGCCTCTGCCACACGCACGCACGTGACGGGGCCCCCTCCCCAGCTGCCCGCGGCGGGTGGGCGCCGCCGCCCCTCAGGGCGCTGCCCCGCCGCCCGCTCTTCCTCGCGGTGGGGTCGGCGGTGGCGCTCCCCTCAGGGCCGTGGGGCTCCCGCCGTGGGTGAGGAGAAAGGCGGGGGGGGGGGGCTCCCAGGCGCTGCCCCCGCCGCCCGGCCGCGGCCCTTGGTGGGTGGTGGAGGCCGGGAGCCGGCGGGCCCCGCGGTCTGCCCCGGCACCTGCCGTCGTGCCTGGTCGTGGTACGGAGCAGCTCTCTTTCTCGGCGTGGACCCGGCCACAGGGAGCAGAGGGACACGCAGCCTGTGGCAGGCACGGCCCCCGGCTCGGGGCAGCCCCGGGGGGCTCAGCCGGCGCTGGGGTCGGGCTTGCTGCCCACTGCCCACGGCTCACCCAGAGATCGCAGACCCACATGGGCTTTGCTACCTACTGCCGTGCCCAAAGGTAGGTGAGGAGTTTTATGACCAGTTGTCAGGTATGTTTGAAAAGCCATCCTGCTCCTCTGCCCACTTGAATTTCTAAGTGGAAAGAAGGTTCGTTCTCCAGAGAGTTGACATCGTAAATTGGAAAGTTATTGAATAACCAAGAAGTGAAGGGTCCAACATACAAGAAGTATGTCAACACCCCTTTTTTTTTATTATTTTACCCTCACTCTTAGTCAGTCCATTCGCATCAGATGAGGGAGTCAGAGGTAATGTTACTGCTATTATGTTTCTCCAAAATTACAATAATCCTTAGAGATGGAAACTGCTGCAGTGTTGCTAGCTCCAGCAGTTTTATCTGGAGCATCATGTTGTTCACATTTTCCCAGAGAGCTCAGCTCTGGGAAACATAAGATTACAGGAAAATCTCTGATTTAATTTTTTACAAATGAGTTTCTTATGCTGTGGGTTGCAAAGAAAAGCTGAAAAAGGGACCCCTGAAGACTCAAAACCAGAAGGCAGATTAAAACAATTCCAAATATATTACAATTTAAAACCTCATTATTTTTAATTAACCTCATTCATTTTTAATACATGGAGCTGGGAATTACCAAAACTGGGTTAGATTTCCAAAGGAATCATAGGCATGGCTCTGCTGAGACACCTTTGTTCCTACAGGCATGCACAGTTGCAGGCTGCAGCTATGGGGACCCCTGTGCCCCGTATGGGAGATCTGTAGGCCTGCAGCTGGACTGAAGAAACCCTGAACAGCCCATTGCACAGGTGGCAGGAGGTGCTGGGACTGAGGTGCCGCTAAAGCCCCTGTCCCTCGGGAAATTGGGGATCTATAGTTCTCCCCAGAGGACTCACGATTGGGGTTAGGCACCAAGGTATGTTCTCTCTAAGCAAAAACGGAGCTGAGGTGGAGGCAACTTTTCTTCATGTGGTCTTAAAAGAGGTTTGAGTAGCATCTACTCCATAGGTTTGTTAGAAGCAGTTTATTTACAGTGGGTCAGCTATATCAGTTTCTAAATGAGGGCAAGTCAACAGTTCTGCAGAGACAAGACCATCAGTGGGACATGATCTGTCACCATCCCATTTTGGTATAATGAACTTGATCTGTGTTTGTCAACTGCCTTCCCTCACAATCACTTTATGGATGCTAATTATTTGTATCCGGAGCTCCAATTGCAAGCTTTTGCTTTCTAATTTATAGCTAACTAGCTCTGTTTAAAAGAAGCAAGCCACAGACTTTCATCATTTATTTCACAGATGAAGTAGGACCTCTTAAGTATGTACATAGCTACAGGAAATATGTATCTTTAAAACATTTATATTTTAAAGAAAATTGTGACAAAGGAAAGAAACAACAGGTTTGTCTCTTGAAACATATTTTTATTAGCAAGAATTACAGATGCACAAAAATCACTGTGTAGTGTGCAATCACTCTTAGTAGTCTGGCACTAAACAGCTGACATGAACTAGAGAGATCACTGGCTAAGGAAATCAAGGCTCTTTTAAAGTATAATTAAAATTAAAGGTCAGTTATATTTCTTCAATCCAGTTTTAATAATATAATGCTTCATGCCCACTCCCAGCTGGCCAAATCCTAATTACAACATCCTGTAATTTCCGTATTAAAAAAAGCATCTCACTTTATCTAAAAGTGCCTTGCCACGCTTTTGTCTCATGATGTCTTTCTCAGTTGTACCTTCTTTATGCTGTTCTGTGTTTAAATATCTGTTCTTTTTAACACCTGGCTTTGCTGATCACAAGGGCTAGATTCTTAGCAAGCATGATCAGCTCTGAAGAGCTAGCTGACAGTGTTTGAAATTTTGACACTGATCAAAAAAATGGGAAAAGTGTTTTGCCATTTTATCTCCACTTTGCAAGTCGCTGAGCTTCCATAGCTAAAGAAATGGACCTCTGTACAGTGAGCTGTGTGTGTGGCTGTTTCAACTGAGCCTTTTAACCTTGTTTTCTATATTTAGTTTGGGATCTCTCAATATAAATGCACTACTGGCCTTATTTAAGGTATTTCTCCTATAGTCTAGTAAAAGGAAAGGGTCTCAAGTCTCTAATTGTTCACCGTACTAGTACCCCTCTGATTAGCTAACTGCTACTCTCTCCCTCCTTTATAAAAGGCAGAGCCACAGCACTTAGCAGCTGAGAATGGTGTAATCCCCAGCAATCCTTTAACAACGCAAATGGAAAAGCTCCTAGTAAATGTTTCACTATTTTCTCAGAGGTTGCTCTCCTCCAGATGTTCGGTTTTCTGGCTCCTCCTATGGATGGCAGCCTGATGCTCTCTTTCAGTCTTTGAGAACAGCCCTGAGAAGAGCTGCCTTGGAGGGTGTTATTTATATGGAAAAACGTTGTATGTACTGTGCATGTTCCTAGTCTTCTTCCCACAGAATCAGTCAAGGAAGTCTCACTGGGAAAGCAATGTGCATTTCTCTTAAGTGTTCCTCTCGGAGTCTTGTTCCACAACGTCAGTCCAGATCACAGTTTAACTACAAAAGTGTTCAATTTGCAAATGTTTGGCCATTTTACTGTTTTGATTAAAAAAATATTACACATATTCAGGCCTATATGAGAGAGCATCTACTTGTTGACAGCAGGAGACCTGGCAGAGTATGAACAAGTAAAGCTTCAACTGATCCAGAGTCTGCAGGTTGGACTTGCATGTCCTTGCAGCTGACCACTACAAACCGCTGGAGAGCTGATGTGCATGGCACAGCATTGAATGCAGAATGTTTGATCCACATCTGTTCCCAGCTGTATGCTGACTGGTGCTGTCTGAGTGTCAATGTTTTGCCTAACAGATAAATGCAAACCTTAGGAATGCTGTATCAGCAGTCACAGCATGAAGATGTTGTGGTGCAGCAAAGACAGAGCATCACAACAACTCTGAAAGTTCTGATTTGGTCTCTTGCAGAGAAAATTGACATTTCATACAACTTAAGGCCCTCACTGACTGCACTGTTTGCTTCAGGATCCAGTTTGAAATTGTACTCCTTGTTTTTCAAACCACACCCTTGCTCCTTGGACTTCTTTCCAGTTTGTCTCCTGGAGACAGTGGAGCCCTCCCCTTTCCTCCCGCCTGTCTCCTCTCTTCTTCCAACAGGCTCCTCACTGCTGAGTCAAGAACTGACTCCTCTCATCATCTCCCTAACAGAACTGACTCTTTGTACATGTCCTGCTGTAATTCTCCATTTTAGTTCAAAATTCCATTCAAATAATGTTCTTTTCCCCTGGAATTCAATTTTCCTTTTCCCATCTGTTGTTCCTGTTGAATGCATAACTCTGGGTCATACAAAGCCCTCTGAGGCTCTGGATGAGTTTCTCCTGTGGTTTTTGTAAGTCATTGCACAAGCTCCTGAGAGCAGACTGGTAAAAATTGTAAATGTAATGGTTTTGAAGAAATTATTTGAAATGTAAGGATTTCATTGCAAAGTTGTTTAATATATAACTGTTTAATGTTTAGATTCTCTCTAGTTCATTCTCTGGCAGGAGAATGTTGTACACGCTAAGGATTTAGAAAATCATGTTATGGTGGATTTAACTCCTGACATGCTCTTGATAAAGGTCACTTTATGAATTTCGTTTGTTATGTGAGGTCCCATCCTGCATTCCCTGTGCATGGAAAGCTCTGCTGGAGTTGATAAATTCTGATGGCATTTAATGTCAAAATGAGCACAAGTGTCTAGAGGTGGTAGCAGTGCAGGCTGGAAGTCTTTAGATTCCCCACAGAGCTAATGCCATGATGATACATAATTGACTAGTAACTTGCAAACAATATACCTGTCTTTCCTCCCAGAAGCATTTCCATTTAAAGAAGCCATTTTCTGACCCTCTGTGCATTCATATAGTCGTTTGGTTCTTCTCTGGACACTTGCAATCTCCAGGGTTTGCAGCACCGATGCTGAATTACTTGCACGGTAGTATATTAGCTGAAATTGCAACTACTCCAGCCCAGCCTTGTAAAAACAGAGGTATACTGGACAGTGACGCAAAGCTGAATAAAGGGCATGGGAGTCAACGTCTGTCTTCAAAATCATGACAGATGGGTCAGGGCTGCTTGCTATGTCAACCTTTTTCGAAGCTGAATTCCTCCAGAGTGTTTTCTCTGGCAGCTCATCCATCAAGTGGATAGAGGGTGAACATGTTCTTTGAAAATATAACTAATGTAAAGAAATGAGGCAGCTAATATAAATCAAGTGTGCATCTATTGCTAATTTCACTAGTTCTGGAATGACAGAAACCAAGCTATGCTTATAAAGAGACCAAGTAAAATCTTAGCCTAAATGGTCTGAGTGGTTAAATACCATTTAGGAGCATAACTAATAAGTGTGCATAAATATGATACAAGAATAAACATCTGGAAAGGACCTGAAGGGGTCTTCTGGTTATTACCTCTGTCCTACAACAAGACTGAGCGATGCAGTGTTTTCTAATTGCAGATTAATGGGGTGATTTGGGAAATGCTGAATATATTGACTGTTATGGTCTTTTAGCTATTTCCTTTGAAATAGACCCTTGATAGGGAAACCTCAGTGTTCATTTTCTCAACATTATTTTATTATCCAGGAAATGGAATAAAGCCAAGAAAACCAGAAACTCCATGACATTTTAGAGTATAGTGGTAAACCATGCAGATGGTAAACAGACTTTTAATTTTCTGTATGGCCTTTACAATATATTTCCCCTTCTCTTAATCCTGGAAAGAAGCACTCTCTAAATTCATAAACTATGAATTCCCTCCATCCCCAGACGGAAATAAGCCTTTTATGACTATGCTTTCCCTGTGTTTGCCTGTTTCCTTTCCCTCACCATAGTAAGTTTTGAGACCATTGGCCAAATTCAGCCATATCTGATGGAGAGGAGTAAGCTCAAAGATACTAGATTTCTGCAAGTTTCATGAAAATAGGCAGCCAGAGAATGGAGAGAGACTTTTATTTAGAAGGAACAGCTGAAGTGGGAGTTCAGCCCTTACTGGTAAATCTATGAAGCAGTCAACCCAAATCATGGAAAAAAAATCTTTGACCAAGGTCTGCACCTTCTTGAATTAGTTTTATTGTTCATGAAATATTTTTGTTCCCTTTCTTTATGTCCAAATTCCTGCTTTCATATGAATCTGTACCTTTGCATTAACTTTAAAGATAAGTTCAGAAATCCCCTCCTGAAAACATCATTATTTTCCAAACTGTGTTCTCCCCTTCAAAAACAGGTTTTTTATTAGACCATGTAATGCTATTTTATGTAACACAAAGGCCCTGGGTTTTTTCTGTCAGCTTGTAGGATTTGGAAGCTGAAGATAAAAGTCACCCTGATTTTCTTACTCACTCTTGGCTTTCTCTGTCTTGAATTGTTTGTGGAACAGGTTTTAATGAAAGTTCTCTGCATTTCATGGTTCTCAATGACATATATAACCTAAATGTAACAGACTTTTCTGGAACTTCAGTCTTAACTAGAATTTTCAAGATGAAAACACAAAGCAACGATGTTTCCCAGAGAGTTTCATCAACCATACATGTTTGCTACCTTTTAGATTTTTGAGAAAATAACAAGCAAGACAGCCAAGCTAGAATAAAATGTATGTAAGCACAGACTTACATGCTCAAAGTCCTCATAATGAAATGTCTAAATTACCTTTTAAAAAATTCCTACCAGTGCTAGCAGAAGCAATATATAAGCACTTTTGCCAGCCTGTCACTAGAATGAATTCAGGTGACACAAGATTAAGACAGCTGTGGCCCCTTTATGCCAGTGCTTTCAGGGTAACTGGTACTACTTGTACGAGGGATGTTAAATAAAGGGAGAAAACGTCTTGTGCAGAGGCAGCCTTAACAAGCACCAGAGGAAATTTACAGTCCTATCTTTTTAGAGTCTAGTTAATCTTTTTAGAAATACCTATATTCTTAGATCTTCCTGAATTTAAAGAGTATTTGGTACTTCCTGCTTTTCTAAAGGCCTAAGAGGTGCCCTGCAACATAAAAAAATTGACATCAATTTTTGGCAAACTGTGCTGTTCCAGATACATAGAATATCTTTAGCAAATGTAAAAATTAAAGGGGAAGCATACAAAGTACTAGTTAAACCATTTATTTAGCATTTTGTGATCATGTTTCTTTGCAGATCTTTGGTCCTCATCATGAAAAAATGTGATCTAATGAAGTACTAATTTCAAAAGGAATGCGTGGAGGTCTAGTCATGCAGTAGTTTTTAGTTGCCTCCCTCTTCCTGCACCATGAAATACTGCATCCAGGAAGCAAAGGAGCGATTTCTAGGCCCTGTGTCTGAGTTTTCCCTTTTCCATCATAGCTCTCCAAAAGTCATTTTCTCCAACTCTACCAGAGTCTAGTTTGACCATGTTTAAAATTTGGGATCGAGTAAGGCTTTGTAGACTCAGGATTGAGTCGTCTTTGTGTGTTTCTGTCCATTTCCATTTCATGGAGACTGAAACATAACTGTTAAGAATAATAAGCAGCTCTTCTTTTGTTTCTTTGGTTATGCTGGAAGAAGAGAACTAAAGAATTGAAAGAAACAAGTTTAGTGTTAAGAAATAACCACGTTCATGGGCCCTCCCAAAGGTCCTTAAATATCTGCATGTTTCTCTTCTAGCTCAGAATGTGACTGAGACAGCACATGATGCGTTGCCTGATGCAAGAACTATGTTCAGTTAACATATATTGCCAAGTTTGTGTCTGCAAACAGGAGCTTGATTTGCTGTGTCTAGGCTGTGACTGGTCATACTCATTCACAAAGCGAGAGAACGAATGGCTGTATAAATGTCTGTAGAATACAGGAAATGGTGCTGAGCTTTTTGATCAAGTTTTCCAGAGCAAGGGTGATCAAATATAGGCCATAGGATTAAAATGTAGCCTGAATCCATCCTTGTTTGTAATACAAAGTTAAACATTTTGGAATGGTCTATCCCTTCCCAGTCTACCCACTCTTGACAAAAAATTATGCAGTTGGATTTGCTGGTGATACCAAGATTCTAGTAAGCTATCGGCATGGTCTTTGTGGTTAGACAGGGCTTCCCAGTTTCTTTCGCTGGTGTGTTACCTCCTCAGCTGTTGGGTTACAAAGCAACAAGGCAGAATTTATTATATTGCTTATCTCAGATATCACTTCCTCTCTCTTCATCTCCATTCATAGTTACATACGACATGCCGTATTATTTTCAGCTATATTTGGCTTGCATGTAATCCAGCTTTCCAGCTCCTCTCTGTATTATGTAAATATAACAGCCGGGAGAAGCAGCCCTTTTTCCCCTTGTGCCAGGAGGATATGCTGAACATCAACATGGACATATTCCTGAAGACCAAACTGTTTTCTGGAAGTCTGCTCACAGATTTCATAACCCATCTGTTTTCTGTAGAAAGCAGTTATTTAAAGCAACAAAGTTCACTTCAGAGACATTGTACAGTAGCTGCTGTTTATGTTGACATTTTTGATGAAGCTCAATATTGTCTATTTTCAATTATATCTCAACACTGCCTTCAATTGCTTCTTTCCATCAGATTTACATATTATCCCTCCCGGCTGTTCACACACAGACTTTCCTTTACTTGGCAATCTTCCAGTCACTCCACAGTACAGACAGAGGTGCTAAAACAGCAGAACAGTTGATGAGAGTCAAAATAAAACTACATTATGTTATACTACATGGCCTACAGATGACTGAACAATTAAACCACAGAGCATCCAAGACTCATCACAAGTTCTCTTCCTTTTCTAAGACTATTCATTTTAAGTACTTTCAGGCAGGTATGTAACAAGGTTGCAGAGGCTTAAAAAATGTCTCTTCAAATGTCTAATTCCATTATTTATCACTATTTCAAGGAGGGGTAAGTCAGAATTAATGGTTCTCTCAATCCTTCAGTTCCTTACAAATACCAAATGAAAATTGTTCTTACAGAAATGGGTTTTATAACCCTGACACCTGAGACGCCTGGGGAAGCAGAGACATTCCCTGGAGATTGACGCAGATCATTAATACTACCAGACCAACTCAGCAATACATGCACCTAACTGCAAAGATACAGGGAAGCTTAATGATTTTAATGTGATGCTCAACATAAATACATACCAATTTGTTTAGTAGGTACATTCTTGAACTAAGGCTCTAGCTTCTCTCCTTCTCATGCACCCAAACCCCACTGCTCTCTCATTCCCACTACCTGCCAGTGTCCAGTGGTACATGGAAACCAGCAATGTGCTGCTGTATCCCACAGTGAAGAGTTGCCTTGATTGTGCTCTTCCTCTTACTTCACTTGGGTACAGGTGAAGCCCCCAGGCTTCTGGCAAGCTGCCACTGTAAACCCAGTATAGTGCATGTTAGGATGAGTGGGGAATAAGGCTTCAACACTGCATTTCAAACACTGATTAGAAAAGCAGGCAGTTGAAAAAAGTGTTTATTTAGCTTGTGGAGATTTCAGAAGGGAAAACAGCTCCAGAAATTCAAAAGTAGAAATGCTAGAGCAATGTGGTACATCAGATTCCAAAGAATGAGCTTCCTTCCCACCACCTTTAGCTGCAAGGAGGACAGTCTGACTGCACTGTCTTTCTCAGACACTGTGCTGGACAAGCAGTTGAAATGTAGCTCAACAAAAAGCTATTCAAAAGGGTCAAGAGCGAGGATTCAGGCAGTAAAATAAACACCTAGAGACAGAAAAATCCTTCTCCATTTTTCCTCCCACATGTTTTGGAATCATTGTGCCAGGAAGTTATTAAATCACACAAATTTCAATAATGAATGCATTGCTTGGATGGCACATGAAATTGCTGAGGGATATGGTTAAGGAAAATAAAAACTCTGAAGTCAGTACTGATGAGAGATGAGATAGAGGAGCTAGACTACAACTTACTGACTTCTGAAAACAGTGCTGGTATGGAAGGATATTCACCTGTTTGATACAAGTGAGCAATAAGAGGAAGTGTGTGCATAGAAAGCAGAGGAATCTGTTTACTATTTTGTGCTGTTAATCAGCAGAGGTTCCCCATTATATTTTTGCTCAGCTGGGAAGACTCTGCCGCCTAACTAGGAGAGGGAGAAAGCAGACCAGCTAAAGCATTTCTACATCTGTAGAGACATATTTGTGCCTTTTGAGAACAAGGCTACTTTTGCTGTGCCACAAATGTCTGTAGCATGCTAGAGATGTTCTGTGGCTTAATAAGGTTGGTGCATTGATAACAGGACTGTAACAAGCTAATTTTCTCACCTGTGCTTTGCTTAATGGTACAGTTCAGTTTCAATTCATTAGACCTTGCTAAACACATCCCAACAAAAATTAACCCATCACGGAATTACTGCAGCTGTGTTGTTTAGGAAGGAACATCCTTCTTTCCATATCACGACACAGTATGCTGTAACTAATATTTTCTATCTGGCTCAGTCTCAACTGAACACAGAGCATGTGGAGGCGAGGTAGGAGGTGGCAGCTGGCAGGCTGGCCACGGCAAAGCAGGCTGCTGCCTTCGCACTGACTGCGCTTCTGTTGCCATTCTGAGCACCCGTGGTGAGGTGGGGAGAATCCCAAAGACGGGCACTGAGGATTAGCACCCACAAATGCTGCTAGCTCCCATCTATACTACGTTACTGCATGCAGCTTTGGGAATAAAAATAAATGCCAGAAATGTCAACAGCCTATAACACAACAACATACGATGAAGCAGAGAAAATGACTCACAGGTCTCCTCTGCAGTGTGGTTAGCAACCTAAGTATTTTCAGGGCAGAAGGCTGCAGAACTTTGAATCTTGAATTGTCTCAGTCTCCATCAAATTCCTGCCTTTTAAGAGTTTTTGGCTTTCCATAAAAGTCAAATTAGAGGTGACAAGTCCTCAGACATTCAGTCCTGGTCATCCTGTTTGCATTATTCCAGGAGGAGAAATACAGACTGATTCTATCCCTCCCTCAGAGCGCTTTCTCCATGGGCAGGTGGATGCAATCAGGTTTTAACCTTCTCTTTCTTACATGATAATTTTGTAACCTTTCCATTTATAGCATACTGCTGGATTTCTTGGCTGACTCTCTGCCTGGACTTCACTCAAAGAGGAAAGGAACATCCTGTTTTCATCATCCAAGAGGACCAGTGGGCAGAGACGTAAATAGATTGATCAATCCAGATGCAACGCAATGGTGAAAATAGGGCAATAAAGTTAAGACTACTGAAACGTGACATGAGTGTTGGTATGCAGTAACTGACATTACTGTGGATCTTATTGGAAGCCAAGAGCAGACTGCATCACCACCTTTTTCAGTTGCTTCACACAAGGGAATTCCTGCAGGAATTTTTCAAAGGCACCCAAACATGCTAGCCAGTAAACACCATGTAGCCAACAAACATCAGATGCAAACGAACACTGGGGTTGCACAGAAATTCTAAGAGAAATCTTGGGCTCAAATCTTAGGGCAAGAAAGTCAGACTTTAATACCTACATAATTTGAACTCAATTAGGACTATCAAAATTAATACACCAACAAGAGTGTATTGAAGAAAAGCTCTTCCGTTAGCTTTTTCTTTCCCCTAGGATGGAGGGTGGGTGAATTTAAAGGATGAAAGAGCAAGGAAGAAATTGGGAAAGACACAGGTAATGTTGTGTGAGACAAAGCAAACTGATAACTTGATTGAATGTAGGGAGAGACTAAAAGTCAGGAACAAAGAGCCTAGACTGTACCTATTTTACAAAATACGTAACATCAGTAAGAAATTTTGTTGAGTAAAACCAAAGGAAAATAATTAAACTGTGTATTTTTTCCAACAGCTCTAACATGCCTGCTCTTAAACTATAAACTTTCTGGGGCAGCATCTCCCACTCTAGGCCTCTCAGCACCTGACATACATGTTCCATACATGGGTTTTGTTTCTACACTGAAGGATTAATACATACGACGTGGTCTCAGTGGCACCCTTCATACTCTTGCTGCCCTAGCTCACAGCTTCCAGGGCCACCCTGGAGGCTGAGACACACTGAAGCTGGGCAAAGGTTTCTTCTTCCAAACGATAGAAATTCTAGTGGCTTTTCAGAGCCCTGATCTGCAGGCAGAGCTCACCATTGGCAAAGGACTGCTGTCCATTAACAGAAAGAACAGATTTACAATTAACTTGGAGGAAAAAGAAAAGATCATCTAGAATGAAGATGCCAAGGAGGTCTATTGTTTTCCCCAAAATATCCACAGCTAGAGTTGGAAGCCCATTTTCTAGAAGGTTCTGCCTCACCAACAGCAAAGACACAATCCGTCTAGACTTTTTATAGCTAAGGCAGGGCTCCAAAGTTGCTGTATTTAGAAAACCTTGCCTGGCATTCAGGGATCTTCCAGATTTGGCAGTCTGTTTATTCTGGGGGCACCTCCTTGCTTTCAAGTGAGCTTTACCAAGCCTTCAGTTCTGGCCCCAATGCAGTTCTTCATATTTTCCCATTTCAGGAATACATAACATATTTATTTGGAAGCAAACAAACCAACGAACCGCCTACCAAAATCAAATTAAAATTGTAGAACTCCTTCCTAAAACCAAACCTCTGTTCAGAAGCAGGGAAAAGGGAAAGAGGCAGGCAGAAGCGTGGGGGGTCCTCCATTCCAGCAGCACCAGCTCTGCCTGTTCTTATATACTTGCGTGAGCATCTTTTACTTCCCTTTCCCTCCCTCATTTCCCAGAAAGGCATGGACTGCCTTGTAAGCAAGAAAGTCCTTGAGAAAACACAAAAGGGTGGAAATGCCTGGCCAGCCACAGATTTGTGTGAAATATTCTCTCTTCTGAGACTCAGAAACCAATTCTCCATGCAAGCAGAGCAAGCTAATAGTATTTCCAGCAGAAATCCAGAATCCACTGCACTGCTCTGTTCTCTACCATCTTCCACTGCGCTCTTCACTTTATTTTGATTTTTCTATATACGGCAATAAAGTGCAGAGATGGAAGACCTCTCAATTCCCTTTTGTTGAAGAACTCTTAGCACAACAGCAGCAAAATAGTTACCTGGATTTTAAAAAGCCTGTCAAGCTCTCTCTAACATATCGACTTTCCCTTTTCAGAGCTTTTGCAATAGCTCTTCTGCATCTCTGCTTTATGGTATCAAACAACATTAAACTCTACTATAATATAAAATTTTCAGAAGCCAAGTTCTTACCTTCATATACAGATGAGAACCTAATTGAAAGTCAGGACATTCTGAAGTTTTCTGCCATCACCAAATTTGGGACCACACAGGAATATTACACACCTGTTGTTTTTTTCCAGTGGGTACATATTTTTTTTTGCCTTACTCCTGTTCCACCTGCCTTGTTCATGCATAGATCCAGTTTACAATGTTTCTGATAATACCAAGCACAACTGCAAGATTACTTTTCAAGCAGCATCTTCAATTATTTTATCATCACAAGTTAGTTTTGCAAAAATAAATGCCTGCTTGCATTCCTCTTTCAGGATCTAAAAGAATCTACTCGAGAGTCAAGTAGACTTGTAGCAATATGTGGCAATACCCTCTTTTTATTCTCAGGAAACAGATCCCACCAGCTGCAAACTTATTCCCATTCTGGCACAAATTTAGCAGAGTAGGTCCAGCATTTTAACAGATTATGGGAAAGAAGTGTCAATGAATTTGTAGTCAGAAAATTTGGGGAAATAAATGCAAACACTCTCCATTAACAATAAGCACCTTTATTGACAGTTTTACCATTCAACACTCCATTTAATTCAATCTCCTAAATTGCTGAACTACAGTCCAGTTCAGCATTTAATTAAAATATTTGAATTTGACTTGTATAAAAAGTGTTATACCTGGGTGGCATAGAATTAAAGTATTTAAAAAAAGCCATAGACACAAATAATCACTGCCTGTGATTTTGAAAATTAAGCCTTATATATTTCAAAGTCAAAATTAACACATATCCTCCATATGATGTTATGCTTTTAAAAATGCCTACAAAAATCTGTTTGTTCAGAAGGCAGAGTGGTTGGTAAGTATTTTCTATTTCACCATTTAACAAATGACATCACTTTACAAAAACTACTAGGCAGCAAAATATTTCAGATAAATTTCACACATTAAAAAAAACACCCGACACTATACAGTGTCCCAACGATTTCAGTAGGCCAAGTTCAGCACAGCAACAAATCTTTGTAGTACAAACTAAAATTCAGCTATGCATCATTTGTTACAATATTTAATTCAATGCTCAGGAATAAAATACACCTAGAAACCTAGTATTCAGATACTGGTTATTCCCACTTCTTTTTTCCCCCTTGACATTTTTAGAGTATGTCTTCTTACATCTATGTAATGAAGGCTATGCTACTTCCTGATGTTTAAAGTCTCTTCTAAATTTATTAGCAAATTCTTTGAGAAGCAAGAAAAATCACCTTTTATAAAGAAGACTTAAAATTATTTTTTCTGCTATCTTCTTCTGACCTTAACATTAAACTTCTACTCAAGCCATTAAGAATTAACCAGAGCTATTTTGCTGCAAGGATACCAATTTCTATGCCAACATGAGTATTTAGGCAAAATCATTTAACTTAGTAAGTTAGTGCTTAAGTGTAAATGAAATTTCTTCTGAACGTCCTATACCCTATACAAGGTAAGTTTTTCAACAGTATCCAAGAAGGAATAAAATTCTATCTCAGGAAACAAAGAAAAGCCACTGAAGTAAGTCCTTCACAACACATAGAAAATTATATTTCCTGGAAAGGCAAAAATCATGCTTCTCCCCCCGCCCCCCTTTAAATTTCCTCTTTCTGCAGTATGGAAAGTTATTCCAATGAGCAAAAATTTCATCACTATTACAAAAGTGTTGTCTCCTCATGCCACTTAGACTTAAGTTCTTTATCAGCATAAAGCATCTGTATGAAAGCTGAGAAAGGGAACTCCATTTGTAGCAGAAATTCATTTATAACCATGCACAAACTTTTTTTCCCCACAGAAGAAATCCAGTGTGGGAAATAATCCTTTAAAACAAGGCCATTAAAAAAAAAACAAACAAACAAACAAAAAAAAACAAAAAAACAACAAAGCAAACAACCAACAACAACAAAACCCCAACCAAACAACAAAACAAAAACCCCACAAAACAAAAGTAATAAATAGAGCAGGAAAGCCTAAGCAAAGACATACACGACTGAGACAGTGAATGGGATTGATAGAAGACACGAGAAGTTAGACCTCTGTAACTTCCACATGGCTGAGATCCTGGTTTTCTAGGCTGCTTGGATCCTGAGGTTCTCAAAGCAGAAACAGATGGATTTTTTTATTCTCCTTCCCTGCCTGCGTTTTTAAAGGCATCAAAGATATCCAGGATGCAGCTAACATTTCATAAGGCTAATATAATTAAACAGTTGACCAAAAACTGGACTTTGTTTTGTTATAGACTAAAAAAAATGGAATAGCTTACATCAGAAAGGCTACACACTTTGCTCTTAAAAACATTCTTTGCTTGGATTCAAGCTCCACACTTCTCATTACACATAACACAACTAGAGCTTCCAGCTACATTTTTCCTCCATTAGCCAGAACTTCATGGAGAAAGTCCCAGTGTACATCCTTGTTACCAAAGTCTTACTTTGGAAAAAAATGTAGACGTGACATAGTTGCATTAGGGTGCAGGCAGATTTCACTCTAAAGGGAGTGTTATTAATTACTGTGCAATTTTTGGTATTCTCTGTTCTGGAGAAAAGTTATATAGCCTTTATAAGATGTAAGTGTTTCTGTTAACCAACACTGCAATAAGAAAAAATACAAGTCTCTTCACCATTTTTATTAAAAGGAGAAAGTAAAATAAGAAACTATAACAGATGTAATCAAAATGCCAATCTTCCTTCACTGAGGTACTTAACATTTTGAAAACTAATGATTGTATTATTTACTAAAACATATCAACCATCTTGAGACATCAAATCATATCATAAATATTCTAACAGAGTAAGAGAGAAGTAATCATTGTATACACCCAAAAAATTAGATGATACATTGATATTAATAAGGGGTTTTTATGCTTCCAAATGAGCATAACTGACACAAAGTGAAAATTAAAAAGCAATTAAAAGGTGCTCAAAAGCTCTAAGTGTTATGTGCCTGAAAAAAAACACATTTTTTTAAGGACTGAAATCAATGACATCAGTAACACAAGGGAAAACAGAGGCTTACCTTAAATCTAATTCACAACTCTACTTTGCTAGTAATCCCAGAAATAATGTATTTTTCCACTATACTTTGTCTAAGAAGTGTAGGTTTTTTAGTGATTTATCTTTCTTCAAGTGAACTTTCAGGAGACACAGTAAAACAAGAAAGGCTCAAGTTTTCTTTTATCTCCTTACCAGTCGGGTCCACTTGGTAGTGAGTGAGCTCAGGATAACAAATCCCTTGAAAAAAAGGAAAAGGGAGGGTGTGCGTGTGATGTTCATGAAGGATATAAGCTTGATAGCCCTGAACACCAAGGTCTTCCTTCAATTCATAAGATAACGTGGCACCAGCTCAAGGAAGTAACTATCTCTTCTTAGCCACTCGCTGTCATTTGTGATAGCAAGTGTTGCAATACAGACACAGGTCCCTTGGCCTCTCTAAACCAAAATAACCTACTTGTTTTCAAGACAGACAGCAAGTTCTCGTTGTCATGTCTTCAGGCTGGAGCAAAATTGTCATTCTTAAAACTAGTCACATTACCTAGGGAAATACAGCATCTGCTCAATCCCTAATCACATTTAAAATAAATGTTAAATTAAATGATCTCCTATGATCTGTTTGTGCATTATCAGACCAACTCTCAATTTCTAAAATGGAAGCTATTTTTCAAATAACCACCTACCTGAATAAGTTGAGAAAGAGCAGAAAATAAAAAAGCAGATGGTGACAACTACAAAAGAATCTTTAAGAGCACATACGTTTAAGTCCTGATTTGTTACCCAAACTTTTTGGGTCACTGTCAATCAACATTTCTTGCAGACCATAAGATACCCATAGAGATCTTTACTGAAAATACTGTAAAGGTGATAGCATTTAGTGACCCCAACATAAAAACCACAGTTCATGGATCCACCATGTGCCAGAATTCATCTTAGGAAAGGGAACACGCACAGGATATTATCATTACTGCATGACACCCATGATATTTTACAACTTCCACAGAACAGTTCGTTCCTTAGGCCCCAAAAATGCCAGAGAACAGTCACTTAAAATTATTTTTACAGCTGGAAATCAGCATTTTTTCAGAATTGAAAATAGCTGTAGGTAAACAGAATTAGCAACATTTGTTCTGAACGAAGCAGCACATTCTGTTCCCTCTGCCCCCTCCCCAAAACAGAGGCAAAATGCAGTTACTTTTCTCATCACAGCTCCCAGGCCAAGGACACTGAAGCTTTGTCGATTGCAAATTCCTCCACGCACGTGACGCACAGTTACACAACTGAGCAGGGTATCCAGCACAAAAGCATTTACAAAGTGCTGAGAGATTTTACTCAACGTGCACTTTTCCCATGTACATTAAGAAGAAATTTAAGGTATTATGTTGCATTTAAGATTATGCAATTTTAATGACAAGAAAATCACTAACATATCAGGGGAAAAAAAGAGAAATGGATACTGTCCAAGATTTTTTAAGAGATCAGTTGAGATAAGACAGCCAAGAAGAACTGACGCTGGACAAAAAAAATTCTAAAAACCTTTTAAAGTTGTCGGACTTTTTTATCAGTGCTTTTAATATTGACATCCAGTGTCTCTACTTTTTTTGTTAGCCGATCCAACATATCATCTTGCTCATCTATTTCTGTCTGCAGACCAAGGGCTAGGTTTTTCAGACGACTCAACCCAGAAGACATCTCATCTGTCAACAAAGAGAGGGACCATAAGGAATCAAAGCAGTATAAAGCATATTGCTTAAACGAACACTATCAGGATTCCCTCTTCTCCAAAACCCTGGGTTAGAAAACATTAGTTACAACTGCTCAAGTCTGAGTGCTCTTCTCCAGTAGCGGAAGCACCAATATTTTAACACTTCTACTGCACTGCTACCAAAAATCATGATTTCCTTCCTCTCTCCATTACAACTTAACTACAGATGCTTAAAACTGAACTGGATCTTAAAAATTACATATCCTGTAATGCAGTTTTTACTTTTTTAAAAGATGTATGTTATAGAAAGTTAGGTACATGTTTTCTCAGCTCGGTATACACAACATGCTCACCGCCTCAATTGTTTTTCCTTAAACTTCATGCAGAGATATCGGCAATACACTGAAGATATAAGCAGTTATTTAACATAGATGAAAAAATCCCATTTCCAGATTTTCTAATTTGCTACAAGGAAACTATTTTAGTGCAAGACTGATTGGTATAAATGCTTATAAAGCCAGTAAGTTTTGCACAGCTTGGGCATAGAACAAATGTGCTTCCACTAACTCTAATGCTTGATTATTTCTCTTTGATCTATTCCTTTCTGATTTCTTTCCAAACTCTTCTTTCTAGGTCAGCTAAACAGTGACAAATGTAAGCAAAGAGGCACTTCATATATATACTACAGAACAAAGGAAAAGGAAGTCAGCTGAATCGTTTTGGGAAGTAATAAAAGAAAAGCAGTATATTCACAAATTAAATATTTAGTGCCTTTTGATTCTTCTATTTTCTGCAAAACATGTTCATTTCAAAAGCTGTGCACAGTTGTAAATTCTTTGGGTCCCAACTGATGTACATTTTAATATCTGGGTTTAACTGTCAGTTATATAGAAAGATGCATTCGACTGACTTAAGTAGTAAAGCTTTAGAAAAAGAGGTACTAAGTATCCATACTGGTATAATCTGGATGTCAATTTGAAGCAGTATTTCCTTATTAGTATTACTAGTACCTGCTTAATAAGATTTTTCAGAATGAATGGATAAGCCTGCTTGATATTTCAGTCAACTTATAGGATGATTCAAAGAAACATTTTCATACCCTGAGTGCAAATGTTACGGGATACTTCAGCACCATTTCCCCATTCAAATGACAGAGATTTGCTCATATATTAAAATTTGATAAGAGTCAAATTATTGTCAATATATGATCTAAGAGGACTCATGCTTTTGGTGTGGGGTTTTTTCCCCTGGTCTCTTTGCTCAGTTTCCACAGTAGATTTATACTATTCCAGGTATGCTAGCCAGTTTGTTTCCAGCTGGTTTCATGTGAAATGCATTTCTAACTCAGACTTGTTACTAATATTTGCAAGTAGTTGACCCACAGACATCCCACAGCGTTCTACCATTCAAATACTGTAGGTTTCAATCAAACTTTGTATTCTGCCGTGTAGATAGTTTTGAAATGCAGAATACAAGCAAGTGATTTTTTTTTTACTCAAATTTCACGAGCTAAAAAAAAAAAGTGTTTGTTGGCAGTAAATTACTTAGTAATTTTCTGCAGCTTGAGAACCAAATATTGAAAACTGTATTACATCAAACAGCTTCAATTTTCTCACTCACCTAAGTTGTTATCAATTTTCTGATGGTAAGCTCGCAGGTGTTGGTTCTTTGGATAGGAATCCCTTTGCACTGAAGAAACTAAATCCACTTTGCCAAAATCACTGTCTGTAATGAGTGTAAAATACAGAATATTATATAATAAGCTAGCAAGAAGAGGCATTAAAGCTATAGAAGGGCTATTAAAAATTAGTCTAACCACAGCTGCCATGTAATCACAATCTGCTAGCAGGAATATCAAAAGCAGTTCAACACTGCTATGTACAGGGCACCCCTCAAGATGAACAGTTATTAAGCTACAATTATTCTCTTTTGGGATGCCTTTTGTAGTTCTACCAGGTAGCTGAGAGGAAAAAGCTAAAAAACAGCGGCCCAACTAACAAAGCAGGTAGGTTGGTGACTTTTACCAGCAGTTAAGTGCTCCCCTGGCTCAAGCCACCAGAGAGTTATTTGTGCCCTCTACTGGACAGACTTTTAACATCATGTGGAATGGAATGGAGATTAATGCTACCAAAAGGCATTTCTTTACTTACAGAACTACAACTATAAAGATACCCTGCTGCTTGCTCACTCCTTAAATAACTGAACCTCACTTTAAGCAAGGAACGGTTACGTTGTACATAAAAGTCACTATTTAAGTTAATGCATTGTGAAAATGGGGAACAAGATGAAACCCCATACGCTTCCTTCCATAAATCAAGTAGTGACTTCAGTATGAAGGGTTATAGTCCATGTTTGAAATAACAAGGAAAACGTATCTGAAAACTATGACAAATGACAATCAAAAAGGAGAACCTCTGAACATGTAAGTTAATATTCTGGCAAACATAGGACAAGGTTGTCTGCACACTGTGTGGATTCTTGACTGTAGTGTCTTCTGTGCAAATATAAGCACTGGATGCTTTTAAAGTCTTTAGTGGATATAGCATTAATCCCCCACATGAAGGGCTAAATAAAATCTGTATCCAAGTAAAAAAGCTTCATGTCTTCACTATGAGTATAAAGTTTTAGGGGAAACAATTCCCTACAATTCAGAGCCATGAAGGCTAGGATACAAATCTCCAGACATTAGGTAGCAATGTAAGTCAGCAGTTGGGCAGGCTGAAGGGTCTCTGCCTTTGCCACTGTGCAAGTTTGCCCCACGTTCATAATAGACATTCAGTTTAAAATAAAGTTGACAAACCTGAATTATCTAGTTTCCTTAAATTTGGATGACTTTCCTGGTATTTTGATTCTTGTTCTTTGCTAGACATCATTGCTTCTTTTAATCTAGTAATAAAGATAATAAAAAGAAAACATTCTTACGGGCCACAGGCCTCATTCTGAGTCTGTTAAACAAGAACAGTTACCAAATTTATACAATAAGAGCAAATTTGTTAGACCTGATCCAAAATGTTCCTTTAACATGAACTAGTAGCATTTGTCTTCAGTGAAAGCAGAACTGGTCGCTTTAGTGCTGAAAACAACATACGGAAACTTCGACATCAAAACCAAAACTGTATCTTCTGTCTTGGAGGCAACCTATTCCTTTCTTCTAGTGGAGGATGGAGAGGGGAGGGAAGGAAGAAATCAATCCATGCAGCATTACCAGGCTTTACATAAATTTCTTAGTTAAAAGAGACAAGTACTGTAAGACACAGTAATTTCATAGCAATTAATTTTTATTTTCAGCTTTTGATAGAAGCCAGAGAAATACACATAATATTTAACTGGAAGCATGTCAATGCTACAGATCATGATTTCCTGATAATACTGAAGTAAGCATGATCATTCAGAAGACTCTGAAGAATTACTTGTGTAATTTTGTGTAATTGTTTGAATTAATTTCCCACAAATATGCAGTTATTCTTACTACTACAAATATAAATAAAAATATTTTTCTCAGAGTTAAAGGAAAAATGGAGTCAGACAGAATTTCAGGAATTTACTTGATAGAATCAACAGATCTTTTAAGTTCTAATTTTCTGGTGATGTTTCAGAGATGCTGTGGGAGATAAGTCCCAAGTAAAATGTTTATTTTACTTACCTACTGTTAGCATAATATTCAGGGGTTCCATTGTGCTCTGGCTTGCTCTCTGGAGGTTTGGCTTTGAAGTAGTTTACCAAGCCCCCCCAAACACTCTTAATGCTATTTATGTGCCTTTGACTAGTCTTCAAATCCTGGTCCATTTTATCTACCATCTGTTCTGTGCGCTTCAGTGCCTCTCCTTGACGTACAAGCTCCTAACAGATATTGACAGAAAAAGAGAAGCTAGTAAAGGCAAGATAACCTGAAACATCAAACATATTTAACATACTCTAATGAGAAACAACAGAGTTCCTCTATCCAGGTAGATTAAAGGCATATAGCTTTTTCATTCACCCTTCTTCCTCCAGAGCATTTCAATCAAGAGTTGCTTGTGAGCCATAGCATTAACCAGCTATAAAATCCTTATCACTCTGCAATGCCAGGTTCCTGACACCTACTACAGTGTCCAGGAATTGTCTGTATCGGCCTCTTGCCAGGTTGACATTTGTATCTTTTCTTGATAGGACAAGCATGGCATCTGTTGGGTGATGCAGTGAAAATGCAAAGGTTTAACAGCAGGGAAATAACCAAGCAGAACAATTTCCAGTTGTGAACAACACTTTCATTGGGAAGGGACACTATTTTCAGATTACTGAGATGTCTCCAATAATTTAGAAACAGAATAACCAGAGAAAATAAACACAAATAAATTTTTTTCATACTGCAGGAATAATCTCTTTAAGATGATACTAACAGTGTAGGATTTAGGAATTCTGATATATACAATTATGTTATTTTTGAATTCAGAAGCACAAACACTATTCCAAAGTAATCCAAAGATTAATTCTGGCAGGAAAGTTGCCTGCATCTAACACTAGTGCAAAACAAAACTGGTGTTCAAATTCTCTCTAAACTTTGGGGAATTCTAGTTTAAATTTCCCCTCCCCCTCAATAAAGCAGTAAACATGTACCACTCAAGCTTCACAAGTCCTGTGTTAAGCCTAAATTCTTGATTCCTCGTTGGTGCTTTTCCTGACAAACAATCACGAGCCCACACATTTGCGGAAGGGCCACCGTGAGCCCTCTCCAGTACAAGCACCTACTGCAGCCTCTGGATGCTCTCGGGTTAATTTAGGCAACCACATTACTAACGCTCAGGGAAACACCCCATTAGCAGGTGACACAATGGACAAGACCTTTATGAGTGACGTTTCCGAATATAAACTCTATACTGAAACAAGGCCAGAAGAATGAAGGAAATGATTAATCTGGATGAACTGAGGACATCACAAACAACAGGGCTCTTCATTTCATCAAGAGAACTGCTTCTAAGCTTTTAGTCAGATAAAAACAGGCATAAATGCCGGTAATAAAACTTAGTAAGAGTTGTTAAAAGCACATGAAAATAGCTGAGTCCTAGTCTCTGTATTATTCAGATAGAGAGGATCTAACTGGGATTTTTCCCTTAAAAAACAAACCGCCTCCACCCAGAACATCAGTCTGCAATAACGCAGAGGGGCATTTTGTCTCCGAGACACTGAATAACTTTAAAAATAAATGTTTCGGGAGACTTTCACAGGGAAAATGGAAAACAAGAGACACCCCCCACCCCTCCAAGGAGGTTTCAGCCGTTGGCTCCCGGCGGGAGGCGGCAGGCGCGGGGCCGCCCCATGGCGAGCAGGCTCCGTTCTCGGCTCGCCCCACTCTGCTGCCCCGCGACCCACCTCGGAGGTGGCCACGCCGATCCGCTCGGACTCGTAGAGGAGGGAGAGAGAGCGGGCGGTGCTGTCGGCGGTGGCGGCGGAGCGGCGCAGCACCTCCTGCCGCAGGTACCGCTGCCGCTCGGCGCCGGCCGCCTCCCCGCCGCTCGGCGCCGGCCGCCACGCCGCCTCCTCCTCCTCCTCCTCCTCCTCGGCGAAGGGGTTGTAGCTCTTCGGGAGGGCCGACATGGTGCCGCCGACAGCGGGGCGCGAAGAAAACGACCGCGGCGAGCGCTTGAAGGAGGGGCCTCCCTCAGCCCCTGCTCCACACAGAGGCCGCGGCCCGGAGCCGCTCCGCTCCTTCCGCCCGCCCCGCGCCGGTCGGAACCACCGCCCCGCCACCCCTCGCGGGCGGGGCGCTGCTGAGGGATTAGCGGTGCCTGGGAGGGACCACTACGGCGGAAGAGGGAGGGAGGAGGCGGCTGGGAGCGCGGGCGGCGCCCCGGCGAGGGCCGGGCAGCGAAGCCGACGCGGGCGCTGCCATCTTTGCTGCGTGATTGGCGCGCCGCGATCCCTCGGGAGGCGGTGGTATCGCGAGAGCGGGGGGGGGGTGGCCCCCTCACAGTCCACCAGCAACATGGCGGCCGCGGCGGTCGCGGCGGCTGCGGCGGCTGCTGCGACGGCGGCCGCGGCGGCTGCGGCCACCACCACGGCGGCCGGGGCCGGGGCCGGGGCCGGGGCCGGGGCCGCGGCCCCTTCCGCGGGCGCGGGGCGTGGGAGCAGCGCGGGCACCGCGCGCGGCTTCTACTTCAACACGGTGCTGTCGCTGGCGCGGTCGCTGGCGGTGCAGAGCCCGGCGCCGCTGGAGAAGGTGAGGGGCATCCCGCGCGGCTGCGTCCGTGGGGAGGGCGGTGTCTGTGTGTGTGTGTGGGGGGGGGGGGTGTCACGCCTTGGGGCGCTGCGTCTGTGGGGCCGGTGGGAGGGTTCGTCTCGTGTGGGGGCTGCGCCGGGGGTGGACTCTGGGGTTGTCACGCGTGGGAGCCGGGGGGCGGAGGGGCGTCATGTGAGTGGGAGTTGCGTGCGTGTACGTCACGCGAGTGGAGCCTGCGTGGAAGGGTCGGCATCGCGGGAGCCGCGGCAGGGGGCCCTTCCGATGGAGGTCACTTGTGCCGCGCGGGTGGGGAGGGTGGCGAGTCACGGCCGTGTGTGGGGTGGAGATGTCCAGCCTGCCTCGCTTGGCCCTGTCATGCGTGGGGGACCTATGATGCACACAGTGCCCGTGCCCGTGGGAGGCTGGGCCTGGCGTGTCCGCCTGCACCCGGAGGATAATGCTGCCTTAGGTGGGGGCTGTCCCGTGGCCGTGGGAGCGGGCTCTGGCAGCCCAGCTGCGTCCATGTGTGCTGGGCCTGCGGACGCTTGCGTGGCCCATCTTGACCCAAAAATGCCATCGCGGCAGGAGGCGTCAGCACAGCAGCCACGGCCGGCACCCGTGGAGCAGTCCCCCACGTCCTCACGAGTAGCGTGGGTCCTCACGGCGGCTGCGCACCCCTGAAGTTTGTGGGGCTCGGTCTTGTAGGTGGGATTGGTCTCAGCCTAATGAGGGCTGGTTGCTTTACTCCATGTATCTGGTTAAATCCAAACGACGCAATCAGCTCAAGGTAGAATCTGCCTGGTTGAGATAAACCTCCCCTGAATGTGAAAGTAGAGAGAGGGGCTTCATCGGGGCAGTTCCCCCGTGGGTCTCCACTGCTGGTGCGGCCAAGTGTTGTGCTGCTGCGGGGAGGAGGGATGGGCAGCCCGGGGTTTCGGGAGTTGGCTTCTCTGAGTGCGAAGCGATTGGACTTCTAAATTGCCTGGTGCAATAATGAAAGATGACTAAATTGTTGAAAAGCACATCTCTGTGTTGATGAAAGCTCTAATGCTTGTTCTTGGCCAGCTGTTGCAGGCTTCTGTTCTTGTTCTAGAAATCTACCATTGGTCTGACAGCCAGCTGTGAATAATTTATTTTTTTAAGCCTTGCTGTTGGTTCACTAATAGCCAGGCATTTATTTTCTTTTTTTGTTTGTTTGTTTGAGACAGTAGAGTAGGAATTAAATGATATTAACAGTTCATATCTAGCTAAAGTTATTCGTTCATGTTATTGTAAATATTAACCTCATATGGGAAACATGCATCAGAAGTTATTTTCCAAAGTTCATATTTCCTCTACTGTACTTTATGTTGAGCAAGAGGATTATTTGTGTTGTGTACAGGTCTTGTAATGATGAGGTCTGGCAGTTGAAGGACCAGATTCTTAAATTCCACTGAGCATCCAGCAAATTCTTCTAATGCTCTAGGGAAATAGTTTCTTGGTTTAGAAATTTCAGGGCAGGGTGTTTAAAGAGCTATTGAAATAGGAAGTAACTTGACATTCAAACACAAATTTTTATTATGACAGTCCATTTTATGTAATATTTATTAACATCAAGGAGATTTATTAAAAAGACGATATACTTGTTGCATTTTCCCTTACTTAACAGTTCCACAGGAAAACAAAGTATTTGGGAGATTTGATATATTCTTTAGATATGTGTTTGCTACGTATGGAGTGAAGTAATAGGTAAATAGTGAAAAAATAATAGTTCTGGAAACTTAATCTGTTATGTTAAAAGGATTTGAGCAAGTGTCATGCTCAACTAGGTGACAGTTTATTGTTCAGTGCTGTATATGAAGGCGGCATTGGTACAGCTGTAACCAAAGCTGCATCCACCCAAGTTTTGTTTACAGGGATTGAGTAAATATGATATATGCAACTGCTGCATATTTCTTGCACATCCAAAATGGATGTGCTTATGTGATGTGGAAGGAAGGCTTTGTTGTACCAGGGATGCAGAAATGAGCTCTGTAAATGTGATGCCTTGAAAAGTTTCAGAAATTCTCATGAGATGTGAAAACAAACAAACAGCTTGACCAATGTTGAAAAACTTTTAAAACAAGCCATATCGTGGTAAAAATGTTAGACATCTACTTGAGATTCTTCTGTCTTTTTCTAGTTTCTCTCATTCGTCACTCATTCCTAGCCTTTAGATGCTCTCATTAAGATGGATGATTAAGGAGGGTAATGTGGCCATCTGTCTTCCAGAAGATGGAAAGAATACTGTCCACTTCAAGCATGGGAGGTGTGAATGAGTCCTGAAAACCCCAGCCTGTCAGGTCATCTCTCTGCTGTGAAAATATTTGCAATTGTATCAGTGGTACCCAGGCCTGTTGCTTGGTGTGCTCTAGGGCATGGACATGATGGCTAGCTCTGCTCCGTAAAAGAGAAGCTGGGAGCTATTTGCATTGCTTTCCTGAGGTCTGCTGGTGAATTTTTGAAAGACAGTTTTGACCCAGGTACTGTTGTTCCCTTGGATTGTTTTGACACTTTAGGTCTTGTTCCACTGTTCTTTCCTTCTGCTCTTTTTCAGGTACAAAAATTGCTCTGTATGTGTCCAGTGGATTTTCATGGGATTTTCCAGTTAGATGAACGTCGCAGAGATGCTGTTATTGCTTTAGGAATCTTTCTAATTGAATCTGACCTTCAGGTACTTTTCCTGCTTAAGCTAACTCTATTTAACTTGAAAGGTTTCGGATTAATTCCAGTTTAGTTGCTTAATGAATGAAAAGTTGGTATTTGCTCTTCATAAAAATAAATATCAGAAATATCAGATGGATGCAGGCAGGAGAGCAGAAGGAAACAAGGGCAGTACTGACAACTGTGATAGCTGTCATGGCACTGCCACAGCCAAACTGCTGTCACATTTTTTGGTCATCATAGCTTAAGGAGAGAAAGGAAAGGCTCTTCAGGAGGACTTGCTCAAACCATATGTGTTGTTGGGTGTTATTCCCCACATGTTTCTGAATGACAGGTATGTTCCAACATACTCCTGATCATCAGGTTTGTAATAGGCCTTTTCATGTCTGGCACTAGCTGGGATAAACAGGCAAACAGTGCACATAGGCTGCATTGTATACAAACATCCCTTTTGTATCTGTCAGCCTGTTTATGACAAGCTGGTTCTCCTCCCTTCGAGCTCTGGGTGTGGTATTGTTTCATCCAGAGCCATTAGACCTCACTTTAAGTTGTTTAATGGGTTTGCATCTGGCCTGAGTTGCCTCCTATATAGTATCTATTTACTATGATATAGCTTACATGAATATTATTAATGTTGTCATTTTGTATTTTTTGTAGCATGAAGTTTAAATAAAGCAGCTCTTTTCATGTTTCTTAGCATCTTTTAATGTTTTCGAAGCCAGCAGTTAGTATTAATTCAACTCTATGAGGAAGGAAAGTGCTGTCCTTTGATTTACAGCTGAAGTGCCAGCACAGAGGTGTTAAGTGACTTGCATAAGGCTGTGGGATGGGTCACATGTACTGAATTGGGACTGGCACTGAATTTTTAGCTGCCTTAAAATTATTTTGTGACCTTGCTGTAAACTAATAAATTGTTTGGGAACAATTACTGGTCTGGAACTTTTTCTCCAATTTTCATGGAGAATGAACTGTTGCCTAGAATGAAAGGATTTGATTTATAGCAGTGAATTGGTTTACTTTCATTTGCTTGTGTTGAAATCAATTTTGCAATATTCAAGAAGTAACGTGGAGTAATCATTAGAAATGAGTTCTCTGTGTGGCTAGTGTAATCTTTTCATATCTCTAAAATGTCTTGAGATGATACAGTTCAGCTTTTCTTCTCCATTTTAAATATTTTCCTTTTTAGCACAAAGATAATGTGGTTCCTTACCTCCTCCGACTTCTGAAGGGTCTTCCCAAAGTCCAATGGATAGAGGAAAGCAATGCACGGAAAGGCAGAGGTGATGTTTGGGGGTTTTGATCATTCTCGTGGAGTGGCAGCCAGGAAATAGAAATAACAAAGGTCATTCAGGACATGGTACAAGGGGGAGGTGATCAGTCCTGCTAGGTTCTTAGCTCCTGACTCAACAGCCTTCAGTATTGATTTTCTGTAGAAGCAAAGAGGAAGTTGAATAGCTCCCAGCCTTCTTGCTTGACTGCTTTGTGGTAAATTGCACTTTCCAAATAATTCTGTGCTCAATATATTTTGTTACTAAATTGGAGAAGATTGTGTAGTGGTTAGAACAGGAGAGTGGAACCCAAGATTTGTACATTCTACTTTCAGCTTTGATGCTTAGTTGCTATTTAAACACCTTAATTTCTTACTCCCTTAATATCTGTTAAAATTGATATAAGAATACTTTTTCACAAAGGATATTATAAAATTTAGTATTTTTTTCAAGTACTTGAAAGCCTGGAGAAGTTTTTAGTTATTAAAACTATTCTTTTAACATTTCATGCTGAAATTATCATGGTTAAAGTATACTTTTAAATTTTATATGTAATACTATATTTTAATTTATATTAATCTCAGAACTGTATGACATGGGAATCACTTATGTCTTCTTGGTTTATTATTATTTGCTCTTTGCATGTTGATTCTCTCTAATGATGCTTAAGTGGCTTATTTTCTGTCCATTACTT